GATTAAAAATCTAGATGCATTATCCATATGTAATATAATTTACATATAAGTTATTAAAAAGGTATATATTAGTACATGATATACCTTGACTAAGACGAAATATGGGCACCTAATTAGAATTATCCATAATGGTCCACTATAAAACTTGACAACAAAGTATAAATACTACAGTTTACAAATMACTTTATTAAATATATAAAAATTACAAAATGTCTAATGTCTCTTATGAATTTATACGACGGCGACGATATCGTTGGCATAATGTATTGAATCTGTGCGCGTGTCAYGTAYATTTTTGTGAGCAATATATGTTAAATGCTTGATTTATTAATTTTTAAATAGTATTTTATGATTCCGAAAACTGATTTATGTTAAGGCGGTTGTGGGCAGTTTTGACCTCCCTTTTACCAGCCCTCAAAGTTGCATTTATGCTCAAGTGCAGGTGATCGTAAAATGTCATTCCCTCCCGCGTCCGACGTGCAAGTATTCATAATTCCAAACTTTTTCACATAATATAGTTAAACTAGACGAATATTTCATCCTCTGTTTTTAAAATGAAGTTTTCAATTTTAGTTTTGTAGAAAAAATGATTTGGAATTTTAGATTGCTAGAGAGAATATTATCTTCATGTATATTTCTGCATTTTAAATGGATCGAGTGGACCAACAGGTGGTACAGGGCAGCAAGTGAGTTAATTGAATTTTACTTCAGGGATCTATGAATTTTTTGTTGAACTAAAGAACTGTAATATCGTATTTATTACATAATAATACTGTAAAAATAAAAATATTTCATAGGCGTAGTCATGCTTTAATAACGYGACAAGAATAATTTATTGTCATAATTCATAATGAGGTTAGCATTATATTATTTCGTGTAAATTATAAATTATTATTGATACATTTATAAAAGAGTACCTCGAAGAGTACTATAGACTACTTGACAAACGAAGTATGAACATATAATTGTACTATTTAAATTGGAAACTGAACTAAATTGAATAATGTTTTATCATTGCAACTTAAAAACTAATAATCTGAATCATGATTAGATTATTAATAAACAAAATACCAAATACATAATAATAATAAATTATGCCAATCATGGTAGGTTGTAGCTATTTGGAAACAAATAGAT